GGTACTCACAGGATCATGCAGAACATGATGAAGACGTTCCACAGAGCAATGAAGATCCGGAAGTACCGTAAGCTGAGCAGAAACTCTCTGATGTTGTCACCTGGAAAGCAAACTGGTCATTGCTGTGGACATAAATTTAAAACTACAACTACCTGAGATGCACACTTTGTCATGTCGTTTAATGTGTTGCTGTAACACAGAAGCATACACACCTGTTGTTGGTGCTCTGGACTCATCTCCAAATCCCTGCGACTCCTTCCTTTTACTGCAAAACATTTAACAGGTAAAGTCAAACCGACTGCTTGGTTTACTTTGCTTTAATCCAATCTTAAACCAGCGACTGTCTGTTGTAATACTCACAGCTTGAAATTCAGCACAGCCCCTGCATTCACCAGTAAAGTCCTGGAGGACAGAGAAACAAAGCGTGTTTACAGGTAACTGTGTCATTTACCTGCTGAGCTAACGTTGGTAGCTACTGCGCTGGCATTAGCATAGAGCTAGTTAGCTTAACGTTTAGCGCGATACGCCGCCGTCTAACGAGTAGAATTAGACAAACTAACCCCAGCACAGAAGATATGAGTTAAATAAACACGTCCTACTGTGTGGAATTAGTCACACACGGAACAAATTACCCGAATATCAACAGATCCGCGATCATCTTGCTCACATCACATCACAGACGGCTCACTTCCGTATTCGTCCACGCAATCAGGAATGCGACCAATAGGATTTCAGGATACTATTAAAGGCATATTTTTTTAAATCCTGATTTTAAGCTTTAAGGCATCACCTGTCTACAGAAAGTGTGAACCCACAGTGAAGGCATGTTTCGTTTAATCAAATAAAAATGAATGACTTTAGACTCAGCAGCAGTTGATGTGAACGTTACGGACAGATGAATGAGTGTCAGTGTAGGAGGTTGAAGTTTTTTTGGACATATGACCTGAAAGACAAAGATTTGGGGAAAAGATTTTGGCTCACACTTACTGAGCAGCGTGCGCCACCTAGAGACAAGCAAAGTAATAGCAGCCTTTTCATAGGTAAAAATGCAACCTTTTGCACACTGCAACAGTAATAAGTCTTAGATACCAAAGATAAACGTGAAAATTACAATTTAAATGTGTAGTTTTAACACGTTCATGTACATAATCGTGCATAAAATATTCACTATGTGTCTCTCACAGCAACATCTTGAGGACTGTAGGTATGATATCCTACAGAATAAAGTAGCTCTATCTCATGATTAGTTTTCTCCCAGTTATGAAGCTCTTATTATTTAACCAAACAGTCAAATCTCAACGTTTTCCATCAGCAGCATCTGCATCTTTTCTCTTGGCCTATTTAAAAGGTCACTCATCCAAATTAATAATACATGAAAAACTATTATTAAAAATTAAAATGAGCATTAATAACCTGCAAGATATACCAGTTTCACTCCAGATCAGTGGTTTCTGTCAGAAGTCACACCTTTGCATACGATCACAGCAGTAAAACATTATGATTAAGACTTGTTATCATGATATATGATATCGATATGGACCATTGATTGAGCACGGAAAGAAAGAGTTATGACCTTATATTCCCTCTACCAAAGTATTTCACATTTTGCAGTTATTTTACTAACTGAATATGGTGTAGTCATTAAAATCCAGTGATTTGTGGGCTGGTCTGAGCTCATAATGTGTCAAGATCTTAACAACACCTCTGGGAAGGCTGAAGAACTTATGTTAGACTTGTTTGATGACACTTTTGTTGAGGCAAAAGCTCAAACTAAAGCTCAAATGTGGCAGAGATCCTTTAATGTCAAGTAGTCTGTATTTGAACATTTCTGACATTTTTGGAGAAGCAGGTTTTCTATTGTATGGCTTTGGGGCCCTCTAGTGGAGACACGGGGTAATGCTCTGGTTATTTATCAAGACAATTAAAATCAGATTTTTTAAAAATAGACAAAATTATGAATTTAATAGTTTTTTTTTTTTTAAAATACATAAATAAGACTGCTCTTCATTAAAGCAGGTGTGGTGTTGCTGCACCTTCAGCTTCCACTTTGCAGCATCATCTGACAGAATGTAAACAAACATGCAATGCTGGGATTAGAGCTGCGAGTCGGTGCAGGATCTGATCCGGATTGGTTTTTCATGAACACGCTGAATAAATCTTTGTCCCCCTTAAGCGCAGACACGTGTTTTTGTCTCTGAGCCACATCAGACCTCTACCAGCGTCTTGTGGGCCGGTTGGATGATGATTGCGCTGCAGACAGGAGGAGGAGGACGACCAGCCTTTTGTTTTTCCTCCTCAGTGTTCCGGCAGCTGGAGCCTCCTGTCGCCTGAAGCCGCGGAGCAGCAGCAGCAGCTGGCCCGGAGCGCAGAGGAGGATGATGATGCTGCTGCTGCTGCTGCCGAGGCTTTGGAGATGAGAGGTATTAATAGGAGGGCTTGAGTGTCACAGCCGTTCACTGTACAGACCGGGGGGCTTGGTGGAGAGTCGGCGGACCGGGTTGGGGGGGCTTCCGATCCAAGACTGCGCAGTTGGAATTAAAAACAGAAGAAGAAAAAAAAAAAAGAGAGAGAAGGAAATCTAATTCGCAGCTCATCACACGGACAACATGGACGTGCTGGCAGTTCTTAATTTGGGCGATTTTGCCCAAGCCTTCTCCAAAATGGGAATGTTTCCTGTGTTTGATGTCGCTTATTACATCGTGTCCATCCTCTACCTCAAATATGAGCCCGGTGAGTGTCTGTCACACTTTATTCTCTGCTTCCAGTTTTCAATATTTGTCCGCTTTTCTGTATGATCAGTTCGATCAGCCTGTCTATAATCGATGCTGTGAGGCAGGTGCATGCTCCACACTCAGCAGACCTGCGCGTAAACACACAAATATTTCTACAAACATGAAGTAAAATACATCAAGAATAACACATTTTTAACAAATATCATCAAATCCAAACACAGAAACGCTCAGAAGGGACGACTGGGCTGAGAAACTCTAATATTTGTACAAGAAGTGGCCTTTTATTGTTCATGTAAGGGATTTTGATGGTGTAACTAGGCTACATATTGCCTGGATATCCCCTACAAGGACTTTCTCCTGCTGTTATCTCCATAGTGCCCTATCCTTATAAAGCATGACCTGTTACATAAACTCCAGCAGCAGCAGCTCTGCTGGCTTCATATGAGGCAAAGTCTGTTGCTGCAGCAGCCTGACCTCATTTACACTGGAGGAAATCACTGGAGGAGATTAAACCACTCAGCTTTGGGTAAAGCTGGATCTTTTTTTTTTTTTTTTTCCAAGATTTGACTCCTTTGAGCAACAGAGCCTGAGGAGGATGAAACCTGAGAGAGGACATGTGCATACCAGCGACTTAAGCAATAAATAGAAGAGCCTGAAATAGAGTCAGTGGGCCTCCGGAGCCCCTCTGCTGCACACTTGTCGGCTGCATTTGGGTGTGTTATTTACACTAAAACATGAAATAAGCTGTTGAGCTAACAGTTAAGCATTGTCCCCTGTAGCATGTTTCCATCAGGAGAAGGGCCTCTGATGAGAAGTCTTAGTCACTGTCTGCCCACTTTGGTGTCACTTGGACGCTCAGCGACGACTGCAAGAGCATCAAACACCTCTAATAACAAATTATGAAAGGAATCAGATTGAACAGCATGATTCATGTGTTGTAGGAGGTTTGAACAGAGATCTGAGTCTCATCTGCTCCATGCTCCAGTCACTTGAGAAAAGTGTGAGAGCTACTTGTCACACGAACAAACTTTAAGCCCCCCAAATTCAGTCATTTGGCTTTTGGAAACTTATTTTGTCCCACATGAGCTAATTGAAGTGAATATGTACATTGTTTGCTTTTTACCTGCAGTTTCAGCAGTAGTTTAAGACTTAACGATGATGAGCGAGTCACTGTGTTTGGTGTGAAATTAAAATAAGTAAAAAATGAGTTGAATTTAGTCAAACTTTTCACAGTTAACTCACGAGCATAATACTCCTCAATCTGCAGCTCGACTGTCAGAGGTTGCGTTGCATTTTGGTAACGTAGGGACAAGGTTTTGGCAAGGGAGAAGAAACTGTGGAATTAATAGGATGATATCTATAACAATGTTAGAGGAGTTCAGCGCCAAATCAGTCCAGTACTAATTTAGCAGTTTGCAGCTGAGTGAACTCATGGACCGTCAGATTTAAGCTGGTGTTTCTCACAGCAGCCGACTAACTTTGCTATCGGCACATTTACTGTTTTCTGTGTGAAATAAAAAGAGGGCAGAGTGCTTGTTTTAAGTTGTTCATGTGTGTTTTAAAGTTAAAATGCAGCGTCAGAGCTCAGGCTGCCTGCAGGCCGACTTCATGACGGCAGCAGTCAAACTATTTCCATATCGAAGATTTTACATTCAAATGACTCATGCCGCCAACATGTGCGAGATCATCTTACAGCCGTGTGTCGGTTCACACCGCATGTTAGAGGAGGACATGAATGAGTTTTCGGGGGTCGACGTGAGCAGAGGAAGGAGAGACGAGCGTGGGGTCAGAGGTCAAGACGAGCCTGACAGTTGCAAGGCAGGAGGAGCAGTTGAGCGGGACGTATTTATAGGGAGGCATTTCTCCGGATCGGATTGCTTTCAAACCGAGCGCCAGTCGCGCCACGACACCCTCACCCACCTGTTGTCGGAGATTTGCGCTCGCATCTCGGTTTACTGTGTGTCTCTAACAATGTTGTAACAGTCTTCCCGCATAAAACTTTACAATATCATGTGTCAGGTCGTATCGGAGTACACGAACATGGAACATTTGACAGAAGCTAGTCTCACGTATTGTCATGTATTTATTAAAATATCCAGATTTCACACAACATTACAGTCAAATTTGCATCATTGATCCTCCTTCAGCAGCATCGAAAGTACATTTATCTGGTAGCAATAGTTGCAGTTACCTTAATAGATTAAGATGTGATCCAAAGCATGCAATCAGTTTGTTAAATAGAATTCATTATTATAGATTAAAGTGACCAAAACAGTATAAAGAAAATAAAACTCAACCACCTACAAAATGAAACGATGAGAAGAGTTGTTCTGCATTATTTGTCCTTTTACCTTTAATACACTTTGATGCCCATATTTCAGCCCCTCTGCACGAACAAACATCTGGTATTTATGTACATTTGTCTTCTTCTGCTGCACCTGAACAGTGTGTTACTGCACCTACAGTATGTCATGGGCTGTCATCTGACTTTAGTCTTCTTTGGACAACTGGTCAACTGTGGATCCACATGAGTCATCATCCCTTGAATAGTGATTTGGGAACGTGGCCCATTTCTTTGGAGAACTTACGATCGCTCGGCCTTGATCCTCAGAAGAAACCAGACGTCCCGCGTAGACAAACAAAGTGGTTTTCTGTTTCATATGCAAAACAGAAATCAAACATACACTTTACATGGCGCAGCTCGAGTCTGTTTCCTTCTGGAGCCGTTTGTCAAGTCGCTCTGTAGTCGGCTTTAGTCAATATTAGTTCATGATAAAAGGGCGTTTTATCAGGGTGTGACCTGAAACGACAAACTGGGCGTAGACAAAGATACAGTCCACAGACACACAAGGGATTCCCTGATAATACCTTCTGAATGTAACCGGCAACAGTTTGGTCTGAAAGAGCTGCAGGAAAGTTTAAAAATTCATATTTCTGGCTAAAAGCTCCATCTGACTTTTGCCATTCTCAAAGAAAATATAGAGTTTT